CTGCTGGTCAAAACATCATAGAACATTCTGGGCACCTTCTCAATAGTTGCTACAAAGCTTGATTCTCAACTGTACTTATAGGCTCGAAATCATTAGGTACCACACTTTATCCCCTTGAATCCACTAGGACCGTTGTTGAGAGCCACACGCGCTGACTTGGCCCCGATATAATCAAGTCCATGAATCTTCTAGCACATGAATACCCTCTCGACGAAGCACCCGGCCGAATCATTTTCATTGAAACCCGCACTTATACAGGGCAAAAATATTGATTCCTTCCCCAAGTCTGAGCATGAGCCAATAAGGCCAACCATAACACACCTTTAACAATTCTTTTGCTCAGATTACCACTTATCTTCTTTTCCCATAGCTGAATTAACCCATCAATATGCTAATAGCCAGAAACCTAGCAAGTAGTTAACCATGCAACCCAATCATAGGAGGTGGGGCTCTCCCACTTAGCTTGAAGCCACTATTACACAACTCTGGAATTCGCCAGGATTTTTTTCTCTTATTGACACAACCTCGCGCAATCAACCGCCAAAATTCTCGAAATCTTTCCGTAAAACCCCCTTTTATACTCCGAATCATCAACCACATTCGCACGACCGATCACTTTGCTGTATAACCAATAGAATTCTTCGCAGAAGCTTCGCCAATCATGCGACCGCCAATCTGCTCACTGGAGATAACCCACCTGAGTCCGAGCTCACTCTCTAGCTGTACAAGACCATTCACCCCTCGTGGACATCAGTTAAATGTGCGGCAACATCCTTCCAATTCAAAGTTATGTTGTATCCTTCTTCATTTCAAGCATCTCCTTTCCGTCATATCAATTCTCCTGCCGCGTAATAGCCCATGCTTCAAATTAAATCCGTAGACCCAATCATCGTCCGCCACTCTCCCACTTTGGCGGAACTCACTCCTTTTATCAATTACTCGACCATCACTTCTTATACCTGGCCTTCTAGAAGTTTAACCATCGCCTGACACTTCCCACACGTCCTTCCTCCTCCTTTGCTGCTCAGTTGTTGCCCTAATGAAATCTATCTTCGTAGCACTTGAACCCACAAATCGCTTACTAACTTTAAACCTATCTGGAGATCATCTTTCTCGAGCCGTCGACATTAGAAACGCCGATTCAATCCAGAACCACCGCACCCCGCGATATCCAACAGTCGTTTCTCCAATATTATTTCACAATATCCTACCCCCAAGGGCAAATTGCAGAAGACCATAACACCGGCGAACTTAACACATACAATCGAGGACGACGACACTACATCGCAGATAAAAATTCTACCACGCTCGAAATTACCAAGTCTCATTACTCCATCACCCCAAATCTGGACATTCATAGGTCAATTGCTTTTCCTCGATTTTGTGATGAAATCTTGTAAAAAGATGAATTAGATTAGAGGAAATGAGTTATAAATCATTTACCTGCGATTTGAGGAAGAACTCTTCTTTGGAAAATTGCCTATGGCAGCTTAAGGTTTGAAAATTTGAGAGAATGAGTTGAAATCTCGTCTAAGTCATGTTTTAATCAGTTGTAGATGTCGCATTTGCAACCAGAGCTTCGCAATTGCGAAGCTCGCAAATTTTAACCTGCTGCATGTCTGCTACTGTCGCAATTGCGAATCTTTGGTCGCAATTGCGAGGATTCCCCCTCCCTGATGACTTCACAAATGCGAACTATGTTGGCCCAGTTCTTCCTCGCAATTGCGATAAAAACCTTGCAATTGCCAAGCCTGTGAAGCTCACAAATGCGAAGCCTGATCTCGTAATTGCGAGATCAGGGGCCTGCAACAGATACCAGATGCAACAGTAGATTTTCTAAGTCCAAACTCACTCTGTGGCCTATCCAAAACTCACCCGAGCTCTCGATGCTCTAAACCAAACATGCATACAAGTCTAAAAATATCATACGAAATTGCTCGTGCGATCAAATCGCCAAAATAACATCTTACACAACGAATTTAACGCTAAAACTCATGATTTTCTTAGAACACTTAGAAATTTCTAATTTCGCAACCGGACGTCCAAATCACGTCAAATCAGTCCCGTTTCTCACCAAACTTCACAAAAACAACTTAAATACCATATCAAACCTGTACCGGGCTCCGGAACCAAAATACGGGCCGGATACCAACGAGATCACACACTATTCCATTTCTAAAAATCCTTATATTTTCCAGCAAATAATTTTCTTTAAAAATTTATTTCTCGGGCTAGGGACCTCGAAATTCGATTCCGGGCATACGCCCAAGTCCCGTATTTTACTATGGACCCTACGGACTGTCAAATCACGAGTCCGGGTCCGTTTACCAAAAATGTTGACCTAAGTCAACTTTAATCAATTTAAAAGGCAAAATTCAAGGCCTCGGAACCCGGATTCGGATTCTAAAACAAATGATGGCCCCTTGGTCATCACAGTTATTTTCCCGAGCTTCTTCCTTTTGAAGAAATTGACCCAAATAGATGTCCACCCTACCACTTAAACTAAAAATAACTGGTGAATATATAATATATACATAATTTATGTATTATATGACTACAATAGTGTACAATCGATATATCTATACTATATTAAAAGCACGAAGGCCATTAGCGAAATATTGTTCGCCTTTTTTACCCTTTAAAACCAGTTTTTACAGTGAACAAAATTGTAATTTAAGTTACTTTCTCAATATTTAGGATTTTGAAATCAATTAAACTTTTGCATATTAAACCTTTCCTTATTAAACTAGGTAAGAAAACCTAATATTTAGGAATTTAAATCAATAAATATTTTACCTTATATAAGTTATACTAATTGAACATAAATCCTTTCTGATGTGAACGTTTTTATATGGTGACTTCAATTGATTTTCAATCAAAAACTTAATATATGGGAATAAAATCACATATTATATTAAAAGTATTTAATACAATAACGTCTAAACTAAAATTGTTTTAACGCGAAACAATCAAATATGCATTTTAAATATTCTTATTTTAGTTAAATAAGATATTTAATCCATGTTCAAATAAACACCCAAAATGATATTTTGATGCCTTATATAATCATATTAAATATACAAGCTTAAATTTATATAATAAAAGCACAAAACCTCTACATGAAATGTAATTAAATTTTTATCCTTTAAAAATAAATTTCATATTGAATAAAAATGCAATGTAAATAATTTTCTAATATTTAAGACTTTAAATTAATTAAAAATTTGCTTATTAATTTTTTTATTTGAACTATGTAGGAAATCGAAATATTTAGGACTTTCAAATGAATTATATATAAAAAAAAATGTCTAAATTAATATGTGTACACACACTTAGTAAATTCAATAAGTTTTTATAGTAATTTGTTCGTCCTATAACTTATGTTTTAATGCCCACACACGTTTCGACGGAGTTATATAAATCGTAAGTTCTTTTTTTCTTTTTATTTTAAAAATTAAAATCTCACTACATGAATAATATTGAAACCTTTGGACGGAGATAAATTGAGAAAATATATGATTCATATTTTTAAAATATGTTATTCGATAATTCTTTAAAGAATCAGAATAAAAGTCTATACCTTGTTTGTGTCTTTTCGAATGAAGTTGAGAATAGCTTTAAAAAATTAAAAAAAATCTAAATCTTCAAGGGCTATGCAGCCTTATTGAAACTAACAAAAAAGCACGATAACTCATGAAATTAAAATGACAAAACTATAAAATTGGAACATAATTAAAGATGAATATATTAAATAATATTTGAGGACTTTTATTAACAAAGTTTTTTCTTTTATTGTATTAGTTATAGAGGATCAATAGTCATCAATTTCAAAAGCTTATACTTTATTTTATAACTCAAACATAACTTAAAATATATATAATTTTCTTACAAAATATTAATCATTGAGACGGGAACACGCGTGCGTACACTAAGACTAGTAGAATAATGTGGCTAGAAAAAATAAGGGAAACTTACACAAATGTCCCAAATAAATCTCAACTTACCAACCTCTAGCCATTAGTCATAGACTTACCAAAACTAGCCAACAAAAATTGAAAAACCAAATAATAGGGTTCTTTCTGTCAAAGAATCACATGCAAAAATTACCTTTCATATTTTTAAGCGTGATTAGCAACATTAGATACAAGACGGAAAGAAAATTTCATGGACGGGGTAGCAAATAAGGTGATGAAATATAAAAATCTATACAATATTCCAAAAATCTAATCAAAAAAGGAACTTTTTCAATGGGTATAGTTGAAATTCATTGAAAATATATAGATAAGTCAATATACAAAATTTGAGGAAGATTGGAGGTGATTTGGACTGGTTTTGTATCAAAATTCGTAATTAAATCGAGTTGAAAAGTCTTCTGCGACACATGTATCAAACATGTATCACGCATGTATCTCACACACATGTATACATGGATATACATGTGATACACAATTGATACATATGTGATACACAAATGATACACAGTGTGATACACATATCATTTTTTTTCATGTTCAGCTTTTACTTCGAATTTTCAATTCAAACCACCTCAAAAGTTCACCAAATCATCCCAAAACTGAGATTCAAGCTCCTTAAGTTGTGCCCAATTTATTCTAATAACACCCACTCAAAACAAAGCAAAAATTTGATATTTTTTTTGCTATAAATAGCTAATTGGCTAATTTGGCTAATATTAATAATGTTTTATCAATTGGCCAATTTTTGTAATGAGCTACTTATAAATGGACATAGCTGGTAATTTCCCTATAAATAAACCACGGAAAAGATCCCTTTTCCTTTTTAGAAGCCCAAGAGTATTTCCCTAGAAAGAAAGGGAGCCCAATGACCTTGCCGTAGGCTCAATTCATCATCCCATTTCCACCTGTCTACTCACTAATAAAATCGAGTGTCACTTCCGCACGTGCCTTCTACCCGTGAGAAGTCGTTGAGAACTATGGTACCGGACTTCACGCGCGCTTGGGTAATCGCTTTACTACATAACAAATTTTCAGTTCCGAAACTTTTTCGAGGGTCTCTTCTGCCCAGCGTACTGGAAAAGTAATATCCCAGAGAAACGTATATCACAAATAATTAATTACTACTTTTGATTATTCAATTGTGATCTCGAGTCTCAGATTTTTTGGTTTTCGATTCACGTATCTCTCTCTCTATATATATATATCTTTTTTTTTTAAAAATTTTTACCCTCGCTTTTATAATCTGCGTTCAAAAATTTGAATTTCAGCTCGGAAGAATGATGTGACCGGCCTTGTGGGATTCTATCAGTTGCCTATAAATCCTATGGTGAGTTCAATTTCAATTCAGGTATATTTGTTGATTGTGATAAAATTCAGCTTAAGTTATGATTGAGGTATATTAAGTATTCTATGGATGTTGCTGTGATATTTAAACCGCATGTATAATAATTTATTTCTCCCCAAATATGTTACTCCAGTACTTTAATAGGTGGCCTCGTGTTCTGCATGCACTGTAGTCTGTGATACTTTGATGTCATGTGTAATAATTTATTTCTCCCCAAATTTATGTGCTTTTCAGAAATTCCAGTTTCATATTATGCATTTGCAATGGAGGCAAATGAAGCTGACATTGAGGGTAGTGTTGTTCCAGTAACAAATACCCTCGGGGCATTGGAGAAGGAGATTGCTGATCCTATTGTTTACCAGCTTGTCCGGGTATGCTGTATTTTCCCGTGAAGACAGTAATTGGAATTTGACATTTTGTTGGGCTTACAGTATTCAAGTCAAAAGTCGCCTTCTAAGTTCTTAAGTTAAATGAATGTCTGCTTTTTATAGTTTGTAAAGCATAATTACCTAAGATTTGTAGTTGGTGCTAGAAAAGCTGGTAAAGGCTTAATCAGGGGACTCCTCAAAGAGGAGAGTGGTGGTGGTGGTTACATAGTTGCTTAAGATAATTTTGGGTGCTTATCAAAAGCATTGGTGTTAACTGTCTTGCTTTTAGATCACTTGTTGGATCAGATAGCTCTAGGTAAAGACTAATTGGAAGGAAGTCTCCTCTGAGCTCACCCTATATTATAATTAGCATCACGACAGGTTATGAACATCGCCTTTCGATTGTCTCGCTTTATTTTGAGGGGATGAAGAACTATTTTATGGTGCACATATGCCCCAGTGAGGAGGTGCTAGAGGTTGGCGGTGGCAAGTTTGGGAAGAGTTAGAGGTAGACCGAAGAAGTATTGGGGAGAATTAATTAGACAGGACATGACACATCTTCAACTTACAGAGGACATGGCCCTAGATAGGAAGATGTGGAGGGTCAGGATTAGGGTAGAAGATTAGTAGGTAATCGAGCGTTTTCTCTCTTTTCTGTGGGAGAGTAGAGCTTTAATTTGGAGCACCCTTTTTTTTTTGCTCCCTTTGCGCGTTATCTGTAGTATTACTAGTATGCTCCTATTATTTTATTCTTCGTTTCTATAACTACCTGCTTCTGCTTAGGCTAGCTTACTATCTTTGTTGTTGACTTTTCTTTTCGCCAGTATTTTCGACATAGCTCCTTTACTATTGTATACCTTTTACTAGTACTACCAAATTGTTTTTTCTATTCTTTTACTAGTATTACCGTATTATTTTCGCCAGTACTTTCGACATAGTTTCTTTTCTTCTTTCTTCAAACCTGTATTGGAATTGCTTTCTTTGAGCCGAGGATCTATCGGAAAGAACCTATCTACTTCCACAAGGTAGGTTAAGGTCTGCGTATACTCTACCCTCCCCAGACCCCACTTGTGGGGTTTCACTGGGTATGTTGTTGTTGTTGAAGAAGAATAGTTTTAAGGATCGTCATATTGATTTTCAGTTGGCTTACTCAATTTTGCCTGAGATAGATTGCAAGTTCTTGGATTTTATAGAAGGTAGTCCTAGAGAGGTGGTTGCTTTCTACAATGTCATATATGCTACCATTTGTGTTGTGGTGGACATTTCTTTACTCACAAATGAAAGAAATATTTGAATTGGTCATATTTTGCAATTCCCTGTGACTTACTAGGAAATTCTAAGCATAATGCCGAACTTGGGATCAGTATTAAATATTATTATATTTTCTCCCAAATGTCATTTAAGCATTTGTTGTCCAAGTTCAAAAGGTAAAACATTTAATTTGTACCAGGAGAAGCACGGTTGATTTCGTTTTAGAGAGTAATTGATGGTCATGACGCTTTACCAACTGTGTAGGTCGATGGTGACGGGAGATTAGTCCCTGCAACACAGGATGAAATTATGGTGGTTGAGGACTTGCTTGAAGACGATAAGTGTGAACTCAAGCTTGTTCCGGATACGAGACAAACTACAGAATCCTGCAAAACTGAAGGATGTCTTATGGAGAGAAATCCATTTCAAGCTCCAGAAGGTTTAGAACTAGATGTTAAATTATTCATTTTTATGTAACTTATTGTGTGACTATTATTACTGATAGCATACTTCCACTGGTTATGTCTCGGTGGTTCTTTTGGCTTTTTCCTCAATTAGAATCATTTTCAGTTAAACTAGAGTATGAAAACCCTGATATTGTTGCAGAAAAGTCCAATGCGTCAGTCGACAAAGTGCCTGACTTGGAAAAAATAGGAGCTCCTGAAAAGGTATGTAAGTAGCCTTCTTCAGTTTTACATCTCCTTGATTTAGGGCCTCATATTGATCTTTCTAGTGTGAAATTGTTATATCAGCTTCACATGGCTAGATAAAGGAGGAGGGTTGCAGTATGTTGATGTTCATCGTAAAGATTGTTAAAGAAACTTAAAACTAGGTAGAGAGTTGCTGTAAAGGAACAGTATGTTACTACTTACCTAGGCATGTTTTTTTTTTATAACGTAATCTTTTTATTAATAAGGTGCTAAGATGGTACAATAAAGTTACAGAAAAACATCCCAAATTATAACATCAGCAAACTATTCTCCCCCTCCTAGCTCCTCCAGAAAGTCCATAAATTGATTCAGATTTCCTAACTGACTGCATTTACACCAAAAATACAGATTATGAAGACATATATCCTTAATTCTAATAATGTGATTTCTATGTCCTTCAAAGCAAGCCTTGTTTCTTTCCATTGGCTGAATGAGCCCGAATAGAGGGAACAGACTAAGAGGATTCATATCGTTGAGATAAATTAGTTTGGGATTAAGGCGCTGTTTACCGATTGATTGAGTGTGAAATTGCTTTGACATAACTACTTGGTGGCTCAACTTAATTTTCATGCTACTGATTCAACAAATTTTCCTTTGTGGTGAACTGTAAAGCAGATCTGATTTGCTTGTGAATCATTCACCTGTTAGAGTTAGTTGTGTTGTATCTTGCTTGGCATTCAACTCTTTCTACATTAGTGAGTCTGAAGAAATATATTATGCTCTTTATATACTTTGGCACTTTCTTGCTTCTAGTGCTGTTAGTAGTAGTTGTATTGCTACTTATTAGTCATCTTCTACTGATTTAAACTGGAATTAACTTCCAGGAGACTGTTCATGGATCGGCCCCTTGCTCGGAGCTCAGCAACATTGACCTATCTGGGAGGACTGAAATAAGCATCAATTCCGAAGATGCATTAAATGAGGATACACCATCAACTTCTGCTAGTTCTAGTTGGAAGCCAGACTTTTCGAAGTTGGAGGGGAAGATATGCTTAGACAATCTAACAGTTAAAGAGCTTCAAGAAACTTTTAAAGCAACTTTTGGAAGGGAAACCTCTGTCAAGGACAAACAGTGGCTTAAGAGGAGGATTACTATGGGGCTGACTAATTCGTGTGATTTTTCATGCACCACTTTCATAATAAGAGATAATTTAGTGGTGAGGAAAGGTGAAGAACAAATCAGTCATCCTGTAAAGGTCAGAATTTCTGCAGATCCTGAAGTTGGAGTGGCAAATTCTGACTCTGGAGGGTCATTAGGTGACCATGACAACAGAGTAAATGATGATGCTAATTTTTCTGGCACAGATGTTCCCAGCTCAGCATTTGAAAGTTGTAATGTTATTAAGGATATGTACGCAGAGCAGGGAACAGCCAAAAGAGTTCGCAAACCGACAAAAAGATATATTGAAGAACTTTCAGAAATAGAAGAAACTAGTGAGAAGTTACCATCTTCAGATAAAGTCTCCAGATACAGATTTCCATGTACAGAATCTCTTATGAGGCCCACCGCAAATGTTAGGTCAAACGCGAGACCTCTCTTCACCAGGCAAGATTCTTTAGGAGGTTCCGGTGTTCAGATTCCATTTGTTTCTCGGATTCGAAGGAGCCGTCCACGTGAGAACTTCACATCTCTTTTGGTAATCCAAGTATCTTACCTTATAGACATATAATTGTTTACATTGATATTCCTAGTGTGTATTTGCATATAAGGACATATAACTGATTCAGTGGGTATAATACATAGTGCATTCAAACTCCCATATATACCATGTAGACATGATTTCATAATCTCTATCTACCTAAATGAAAATTTTGGTTTATATGCTTGCAATGACTGCTATTCTCTTCTTCCTTGCGTACATTATCTCAGTTTCAGTTTGAAATGCATTTATCCGACGATTCACCATTTGCATTTACAGCATAGTGTGTCTATAAGGGCGTGTGTCTGTGTGTTTCTCAATAAATCTGTAATTTCTATATAAAGCTGTTAAATCATCTATCTTCCAAATCAAATTATGTGGTTCTTATACTTTTAAAGTATTTTCGGCTCCAGTGTCATGTGCTACCATGGCTGATTGAAAGATTAGCTTTTTTCCTCTGGGTTATTGATGTACTTCAAGTTAAATATTGCAGAAACTTCAGCCCAGTGATATGGACATGGCAACCAGACAAGTAAGAAGTGTTTTTGATGTATCTGGGCCACAAGAAGATGATAAGAGAAATAATGACCTGATCAAGACCAGCTCAACTCCTGGGTTGACTAAACAGCCTGTAAATAGCTTACAACTTTCATTTTCTACTGCTTGCCTCCAAATTCTGTGCAATTTTCATTTTATCAATACTTACAATATTACTTTACTTAAATGTTGCTAATCCTGAAATGATTGTCCCTTTTTTTTTCCTGGTCGAGAAAAAAATTGATCCATGACTGAGACTTTTAAATGTTTTTCCTGTCATTTTTAAAATAGGAAGAATTGCAACTTAGTATTTTTCTCTAGAATATATTTCTAGATACTAAATTTTTATTTCCAAAATACAAATTAAAACAAGTTCAACTTTATTTGGGAAACCTGTCAAATTTAATCCTCGAAAGAGAACAAGTCTATCTGTGTAGGAGAGGGACTAATTTAAATGTTCTCTTTGTTCCTTTTATAATCATCTAATAATTTTTCTTTTTAGCCTTTGCCTTCAAATAAAACTAGATATGATTCTCTTTTTAGTTTTTACGAATAACATCATTATTTTTTTTCCGGTTGGCACACATGTCATTTGGATTGAGTAATTCTCTTATATCCTGCAACTCTTGCTTAGCTTTCTTTTTGTGTGTAGAGCAAGACTACTTGCATGTTATTTGTCACCTTTTAAAGTCATACTACAGTTACAGAGTACTTTTAAAAAGTGTTTCAGATTGCCTTGGGTGTGATTTTGAATGATTGTGTTATTATTAAATGCCAATTTAGCTTTTTTCACGAGTTTATATTATTAGTTTTGGAATAGTAAAGGTGCACGCAAGCTGGCCCTGACATCACCATTATAAAAAAGAATCATTAGTTGTACTTACCTTTGTGGTTGTAACTTATTGTTTGAGAGATTATTTGCAAGTAATAAAAAATTTATGATGTATTTCTCCCTGAGAAAAATACCAGGACAGTCCCTTAAGTTGTTAAGTACGGGTATAGAATATTTTGATCCCTTATATATACTGCTGAAGATAAAACATCCCTTAAGTCTGTAAAAGTAGATAGCTTTAGTCCAAGCTATAACAGTGTTACTAAAACCAACGGGAGAAGACACAAACTAACGGCACCATTTGTCATAAGGTAGCATATAGAAGACTGAGAAAACCCTTTTCTCCTTAAACTTGCTTGTTATTACTTGTTACAAACTCATTTCTGCGCATAGGACATAAAAAAGATTCAAACTGGTAATAAACCAGGTTAAATTTTCATTGTCACTTTGAGATTAGAGTACTTTTTATTAGAATAAATGATAATTGGTCTAATATAACTCACTTTTCTTAGAATGGAAACTTTTTGAATTGGAAAAGTCAGACCAAAACATATTTGATCAAAACTTGTTTTTTTTTTTCTTTTTCATTTTCCGATCTCCATGGAACCCAATCTCTGGTTCATTGTACTGCTTTCCTTGTCAGTTAGTTTCGTCCTCATGTTGAGTCAATTTTTTGTTGTATATATTTTGGCTGGTGCTCTCTCTCTCTCTCTCTCTCTCTCTCTCTCTCTCTCTCTCTCTCTCCTACGCTCTCTCTCTATCTCTTAATTCCTAATCAGTAATGTAGAGCAAAGAAAAAGAGAGCAGCAATTCCACCATTGACAGTCATTAAAAAATTTTAAAGCTTTGAATTCGAATTTGAATTTTCAAAAAATATTATTTGTTTGAATTGGGTGTTGTTGCAAAAAATTGGGAATCTCTCTACGTCTCTCTCTTTCTCTCAATCCCTAATTCCAGTAATGTAAAGCAAAGGAAAAGAGAGCAGCAATTCCACCATTAATAGCCATTAAAAAGCTTTGAAGCTTTGAATTTGAATTTGGGTTTTCAAAAATCATTATTTGTTTGNTCTTTCTTCACTCAAACTCAGAAAACTAGAAAGCTCTCTCTCTCTCTCTCTCTCTCTCTCTCTCTCTCTCTCTCTCTCTCCTAAGTTTAAATTGATGAAGATATATTGTGGCACTCCTGTTGTTTCTTAGCTTATTGCTGCTTGTGAGAAAGACGAGCATTACAGTGGCATGAGAATTGTTGAGCTAGAGAATGACATGGATGAGGACAATTCAGATGATAATGTGGAACTGAATGACGGCTTTGAGGACAACTCAGATGATAATGTGATATCTGTACCTACCCCAAAAGGAGGAATACGGAGAAAACATCATCGACCTTGGACTATCGATGAGGTTGTTAAGTTAGTTGAAGGTGTAGCCAGGTATGGTGCTGGTAGATGGTCTGAGATAAAGCGGCTTGCTTTTGCTTCTTGCCCTTATAGAACTTCGGTGGACCTGAAGGTTGGTATTGACTTGTGCATTTCGTTGAATCTAGTCAGCCTTGTGTCATTCAAAATAAATTAGACTGTCACTGTTTTGTACATGTGATGAAATGCTTCAAACTATTGATGTATTTGCAGGACAAGTGGAGAAATCTGCTGAAAGCTAGTTTTGTGCAGTTGCCTGCAGAAAAAGGGGTTAGCATTTCTTTTGAAATTATTATGCAAATTGTTTCACAGTTCCCAATGATATTATCAAGACTTCACTTAACTATTTTTGAAAATAAAAAGAGAGGAATGCGCTGGGGTTTGTTTTGCATCTTTTAACAGTTAGTTTGTCATTTTACCCCCCACCCAGTTTATGGAAACTAGAGGGACTGATCTTAGTGTACTTCTTAACATCATACTTGTGATGGAACAGATGCTGAATTCCCGGAAACAGGCTTCAGTTCCAATCCCTGCTCCAATTCTCTCGCGTGTGAGAGAGCTTGCTGATATGCAAGGTCAGTTCCAACCAATTCTGAGTACCAGCAAGTCAAGTGGACATAGTAGTGGTAGAAGTGTACATGAAGCTAGGTCTGGATACTTGTAGTTTCAACACCAGAGGTTTGTTTTTTGGAATAAGCCTGATGTTGATGGGCTAACAACTTACTGGCCACTATATTTCATGTGCTAGATTACTTTTGTGTGATTTTAACTTTCTGTACACAGATTTTTCTTAAAGTTCTTAAAGTCGATCAATTTTATTTTTTTGCCCACATATAGCCTATAGGTAAAAAAAGAGTTCCAAGACTGCTGCTCGTGCTTAAATGGTTCCAGTTGGTCATATCCCAGCCAGCATTTCCCTCCCTTACCCCATGCCCACAAATTGTTAGTGGTGCTAGCCCCATTTTTAAGCAGTGATTTAAAGTATCATATAAAAAAATGTTCTTTTCCTATATATTTTTACATATATGACCGAGAAGATAATTTACGCATTGTCTCCTTGGCAAACAAAGGAAAATCAAGTTTATGAGAGAATAGTATTGACAATTATACCTGCATAAGAGGAAGGTGGAGATGTTGTCAGAGAACTTGAGAAAGAAACAGTTGATGCTTTTCATATTAAAGATGAGAAAGTGAAGCAGCTGCATCATAGTATACTACCCTTGAGGCTCAGTTATGAGCTTCATTTTGCAAAATCTCCCACACCAACATAAATTTAGCTATCTTAGTGGGCGTTTGGACATAAGAATTGTAAAATTCCAAAAAAAGGTGCAATTTTTTTCAAGTGAAAATGATATTTGAAATTTAGAGTTGTGTTTGTACATGAATATAATTTTGGATTGTTTTTGAAGTTTTGTGAGTGATTTGAGTGAAAATTTTGAAAAATAACTTTTTTGGATTTTTTCAAATTTTTGAAAATTTTCAAAATGCATCTTCAAGTGAAAATTGAAAATTTTATGAACTAACGTTGATTTCGGAAAAAAGTGAATCTTTTTTGGAAAAAAGGGAATGTTTTTATCGTGCACTAAGTTTCGGATCATGCACTATTAATACTCGCAATTTTATAAAAAAAAATCGGTAACATTTTATTTAGAAACTTTATGAGGTGGTCATTACTTTATGTCAAATAAACCATCAAAGAAGAATTCAACTAGAATGTAGATTAGGGAGAGTCAATACTTGTGTGCTGAAAAGAAGTTAACAGTGTGTGGGTCGTCGTAGCTTGTCGTCTTTCTTATTTTCAGATAAAAATATTTTAATTGAACTAGCAAGTACAGCTGATCTCTTCTCCCACCCACGAATAAATAAATATAAAAGAAAAATAAAAATGCTAATTGATCACGCCCAACTATGCCTTATAAAAAGGACAATGCGGTCGTTGCAAATATAATCCGGTTTTACAAGTCCGGAGTCGAATCCCACAGAGAACTAAGGTTTAGCTACAGCTGTTCACTATCACCAAGAAGACAAATTTGAACAATTCCTAACTTATAGATATTAAGATTCTTGTGTTTAACTACTTAACTAACAAATTAAAATAGTAAATTAACAACTAACGATTAAGGAGGTCTAGAGTTATGATTTCCCCTATTGTCGGAATCCTTCCCGCTATGTCTTCTATAATTTCGCCTAAGTATTCTCTACCGATCATGAGCACTCTTATTACCGTAAATCTCTCCCGAGTAATTACGATAATTTACTAGACGCACTCTCCCGAGCTACGCTAGCTGGCTTTTAATACAACTCACTTCAGATCGCACCCAAGGCTTCGTTATCCCTAATCCCACCTTTAAACCCTCGGTTATTGATCCCTCATATACTCTGGGAGTGGTGTTGTTCAACAATTACCTAAATATGCACTCTCTCCCGAGTTATGCATACTAAATAGGCACAGCTAATTGAGAGCTCTTCAACCAACCACAATATAAACGTAGTTGAACAAATAGAGAAAAGCTATGGCTCAATCATATAAAAACATAACAAGAATTTATCCTATAAAAGGTTCTATCAAAACTCTAGATAACAAATTAGCTATTCATAATAGTATGTAAAACTACAATACTAAAAGTCATAACCAACAATGAAAAATAGGAAGAGGAAGGAAAAAACTCGTAGAAGAATTCTCCGCCTTGCTCCCAATGTGTTCTTGCCTCCAAGGGTGTTGTCTAACCCTAAAGTAGTGTCTCCTGCCTCCTTAGGTCTAATTTGTGTCCAAAATATGTCCCCTTCTTGTTCTTGACCGGCCTCCTTTGTTTAATATAGGGTTTAGGACTTAAAATCCCATGTTTTACACTTTAGTCCCTGAAATTTTCGCTTACTGCCGCGGTCCCACCGCGGTCGCGGTCAAACCGCGGCCAAACATACTCTCTGATTCTTCAGTTGTCCGCGAGTACACTCTGCCGCGGTCGCGGTGGAACCGCGATTTTTCACCCTGTTCCGTTTGGAATTTGGAAAAACGTAAAACATGAAAGTTGTAGCCCTTTGAGTTAGTTTTCCAACCATATATTGTGGAGCCCAAATGGAGTTCTGAGCAAAAAGTTATGTCTATTTTACTAGACAGTGCGCAATATGCCTCCTCAAGTCTTCATTCGTACTTAATTATCAAATTTGACCCTCGAACACGATCCCGGCTTAATTCCTTGAGCTTTTACTCAGACTTCAAAGCTTCAAATCACTTAAATTCATTCCATAACATCTATATAGCTCGGAATCACACCTACAAGGCATAAAACACACAATTAGTGCAAAACACTAGCGATTAAAGCGCAAACTCAATTAAAGTGCAGTAAATTCGAGTGTAATAAGCGACTAAATATGCAATTATAGCCTATCATCATTAATGGATCTGAACTGCCTTAATTATTTCATTCATATGAAAAAGTATGGCAGAACTTTAAATCTAGAAGTTATAGCAATATATACCAAAACAAAAATCAAAAGGTAAAGTGATGTTATAAATTTTTGTTTGAAATAATTGTGAAATTTTACTCACGTTCTGTATCCGCTTGCAAAAGGAAAAATCTCATAAAAGTAAGATGGAAGATGGAGATAAACTCGCTAGTCAAAATAAGCCAACTGAATCTATATGATTTTAAGTATTTTATTACTCCTCAAGGCGCAGAATACTAATGCTTTTATATGTTTAAGTTATATAGTATAAGTTAATTTCATCAATAAAAATATTTAGTAGGTTCAAATCAACATTTTGTTGCCTTATTTTATAAAAAAAAGACTAAAAATCTATCTTACTTATTCGTTACACCTATAGACTCATAATAAAATCTATGTATTTATGAAGAAAAAAATTTATAAAATCAATTCGGTTATAGTTTGTTCGAATCGATTTGTATAATTTAAAAAAAAAAAAAAAACATTTGACACCAATTTGTACAATGTTGACTGAAATTTTCGGGTCAGATAGTGTAATTACGAAAAACATGAGTGTACAAAGTTAAAATTGAAAATCAGGGCCCTAAGTTGACGTATTCTTCATTCTGAACCCTCCTCCCGGCTGTACCGCATTATTCTTCTCCCCATCTTCTTTTACTCCCAAAATCACTGTATTCGCCGCGAAGCAGCAGCAGGTCGCCGGTCGCCGGAGTCTCGTAAGAGATACTTAATTTCATAGAATTTTTAATTTATGCTTTGACTGCAAATCCTAATGTTCCTCTTTTTCGTATTTTGCTGATTTCGAATTGAATTTTACATAACATCGTCACAATTTAACTCATAATCTCCTCGTATATTGGATTGAGTTTCTCTGGCTAAATGGAATCTATTGAAAAATTCAATCCAGATGAGCTTTAGTTAATTTTAGTTTGTTAGGTTATTTGATATACAACATCTCTAATAATTATTACTAATTGATTTTCTGACTATCACGAGTATTAATCGCACAGCTCATTTTGTTTGTTGTATCTTGGATAATTTCGGCTTTTACTGAGTTTTTCCTATGTATATCTAGTTGATTTCCCTCAGAGTTTCATGTTACTGTTGCCTATTGTCTGATTTCTTTCATTAATTTGTATAATAACTTTAATCGACTTTATATTCACTCCTCGATTTCGAACATTTTGTATTTGGTGGTCTGAAACAAGAGATGTAATTTAAAACATAATAAGTCCCATTTAAGTCCGATCCAGTGATGTCAAAGGCTCATTTAATGCGTGCTTAAGCCCAGAAGCTCAAAAAAGCTCAAGGAGGGCGCTTCGCCTCGCTTAAGCTGCGCTTCAGTGTAGGCAAGTCACTAAAGTGTGTGCCTCAATGCCCATGAGTTCTATCTTGAACTGAACACTACTGAACAACAAATATTATCACCAAATAAGTGTATTAGTTGCTGAGGATAATATTATGAGTAAATTTGTTTCTTTTTTGTTGAACTACATAATGTATTTTTATTTTTTCCTTTAGTTGCGCCTTTTTTTACTAAAGCCCGCATTTTAGTTGCGCTTTGCGCTTAAAGCCCCTATCGACCTAGAGCGCTTTTTAGAGCTTTTCGCTTTTGACAACATTGGTCCGATCTTTCCCTTGGTGGGCAGCATAAGCATTACCCAGTACCTGTGCTGGTGGGAGTTAGCATGTACCCCGTGGAATAGTCGAGGTGCGTATAAGCTGGCCGGGACATCATCGTCATAAAAAAAAGTCAGAATTCATGTCCTTCTTCTTGTTGTTGTTGTTCATCAGGTGATCTGATTCGGGCTTATGATTTCTAGCTCTAGATTTAGCTCTTTATAGCACAGGCAACCATTTCTCTCTGCATTAGTCCCATTTTCTTCATTACCTTACACCTGTGACGCGGATGACCTCAGGTCCCGGACATTATCAAACATTTGAAATCCGACTTGGTCTGTTGACTGCAATTTCTAGAAAGAATAGTTCTTTTGTGTGTGTAATTTTCTTTGAGCATCTCTTTTGTCATGGGACTGTTTGTTGGACTGAATTTTGATATTTTTCTGCTGTTTTTATGTGCAGATAAGCTAGAGAACCATGGGGATCATAGAGAAGATAAAAGAAATTGAGGCCGAGATGGCTAAAACCCAGAAAAATAAAGCAACTGGTAACTGCCATAGTTGTATTGCTAAAGCCTTATACCTCCTAATGAGTTGTGCCGTATAATATTGATGTAGAATCTTAGTTTCACTTTGAATTTAGATGTAACTTAGACAAGAACTTGTTGTACCAACTAAGCCACCATTAGGCATCACCGCATCACCATCAATGAATTCTTCTTGCCATGCAGTCCTGTGCACATTAATCGACATACACGCTCAGA